ACAGCCGACTCTTGAAGGGTTTTAACTGCACTGGTTCACTTATACACAGATTTTCTTGCACTTCTGCCACCCCTGGATAGTAAGACCAACTCCTTCTTCTGCCTCCTCCTCCTCAGCCTACTCAGTGTGAAGACATCCAGGATGAAGACCTTGATGATGATCCACTTCCACTTAATGGAAGTAAATCTATTTTCTCTTCCTTATTTTCTTAATCACACTTTCCTTTTTCTAGCTTACTTTATTGTAAGAATGCAGTATATAATACATATAACATACAAAATATATCTTAGTTGACAGTTTATGTTATCTGTAAGGCTTCTGGTCAACAGTAGGCTATTAGTAGTTAAATTTTTGGAGAGTCAAAAATTACAGGCAAATTAGCCACTGGGCAGGAGGTCAGCACCCTTAACCTCCACATTGTTTAAGGGTCAACCATATACAGAGATGGGGAGAATGAGAGAGAGAGAGAAAGAAAGAGAGAGAGGATTAAATTTCACTGGGTATTTTTTTATGTACCAGACACTGAAATACTGTGTGTGTATTTTCCCATTTAATCTTCATGATGTTCTTTTTTTTTTTTTTGAGATAGATTCTCGCTCTGTCGCCCAGGCTGGAGTGCAGTGATGCGATCTCGGCTCACTGCAAGCTCTGCCTCCCAGGTTCACGCCATTCTCCTGCCTCAGCCTCCTGAGTAGCTGGGACTACAGGCGCCTGCCACCGCGCCGGGCTAATTTTTTGTATTTTTAGTAGAGACGGGGTTTCACTGGGTTAGCCAGGATGGTCTTGATCTCCTGACCTCATGATCTGCCCGTCATGATTGCGTAATCATGACAAAACTTTGTGCCAAATATCATTACCCCAATTTTTTTTCCAGACTAAGAAACAAAGGCTGGAGATTTAGAAACCTTATCTATATTCACACAAAGATGACATTTATATTTACATTTTAGATTTAAAGTTTTAATCCACCATAAATTTATGTTGATATGAATATAGCCTATCTTGTAGGGGTTATTTCAAGTTCATGGCTTTTTGGCTCCAAAATCCATCAGAACTGCATGGAAGACTACCCACATACACACACACGCACAAACACACACACACTTGCCTATATGCAGAGAGAGAGAGTATGTGTGAAAAGAATCAGTATCTCTCATCAGATTCTTTAAATGGTTCATAACCTGAAAATGATTGTAAATCATAGGTCGAAGAGATGATTTTGTTCTAAATGGAAAGCCCAGTTTTCCTAATACTGTGTATTAAAAACTATAAGATTCCCTTGTAATTGAAAATGTTATTTTTATAAACAGCTAGAGCTCTGACGTCAGGAAGACCTGGTATTGAATCACAATGCAACCACCTCTTGACTTTGTGATCTTATGCAAGTGACTTGACCTGTCTGAGGCTATATCCACATCTGTAAAGTGGGATAATACAGTATCTCATAAGCCCAGTTCTAGGATTAAATCAGGTAATACATGTAGTGTACTCAGCAATGAGTCTGCTTCATAGTAAACCTTCAATAAAAGCATTTATTAATATAATTCCCATATATATTGTGTTCTGGTCTTGAATTTTCTGTGTCACCCACTTATGTGGATATGTTTGCCTATTACTCCAAGATACGAATATTTAAAGGGTCTTGGCTTTATTGCCAAATTGCTCAAGGAAGTCTATACGCATTTACATCTGCATCCCCCATAGGCAACCTATCAGTGCCGCATCTCCCCCCATCAGCGTAGTGCATTCTGATCTTAAAGAATCTTTGCTTATTTGATGGATGAAACGTCTTATGTTCACTTTAATTCATGTTTTTTTTAAATTTATTTGTGTGTGTGTTTTTTTTTACGTGGGGTCTCCCTCTGTCACCCAGGCTGGTATGCAGTGGTACAATCACGGCTTACTGCAGCCTCGAACTCCTGGAATCATGCAATCCTCCCACCTCAGCCTCCCAAGTAGCTGGGACTAAAGACACACAAAACCATACCCGGCTAACTCTTTAAATTTTTTCTAAAAACAAGCTCTTTCTATGTTGCCCAGGCTGGTCTTGAACTCCTAGGCTCCAGCAGTCCTCCCACCTTGACCTCCCAAAGTACTAGGATTTCAGGAATGAGCCACTGCAAGCAGCCCCATGTTTCTTTGGTTACTAATGAGGCTTTCCATTTTCCCCAAGTTTATTGACAATGTATATTTCCTTTAAGTGAATGGCAGAGATGGCTGTTCTCCCCTTTTATGGGAACAGCAAAGCCAGACACATGGCTACAGGACAAAACACATTTCCCAGTCTCCCTTGATGAGTGTGCTTATGTCACCAAATTCTCAACAAAACAATGTATGCAACTTTCATCTCACATGAAGAGGAACTGTCTATTGTCTTCCAACTGGCTAGGCAGATGTATCCACAGCCCATCTTCAACCATGCAGACGGGGAAAATGCCTTATGGTAGGGAGAAGCAACGATCTAGAAGTCATCCAGGTTTCTGCCTGTGAGGGAAGGAGTTGCCCTGCCGTCCTGGGGCACTCCCTGGGACAGTTAGATGAAAGAGATAGAAACTTCTGTGTTCTTTAACCTACGATATTTTTAAACAGTTTTTTTTGCTCCAGCAGCTTATTTTTTGTATTATTAATAAATATCGTTTGTCCATTTATTCATTGGAATATTAGCACTTTTTACTGATTTGTGGGAATTCTTTGCTGTATTTGAGGCAAACATCTTTATGTAGTCAATTTCATTATGCTTTTTTGGTGTGACATCTTCCTTTGCATTAGCTTAAAAAATTCTTTCTGGCCAGGCATGGTGGCTCACGCCTGTAATCCCAGCACTTTAGGAGGCTGAGGCAGGTGGATCACCTGAGGTCAGGAGTTTGAGAGCAGCTCGGCCAACATGGTGAAACCCCGTCTTCACTAAAAATACAAAAATTAGCCAGGCGTGGCGGCAAGCATGGTGGCAAGCGCCCAGCTACTCGGGAGGCTGAGGCAGGAGAATGGCTTGATCCCAGGTGGCAGAGGTTGCAGTGAGCAGAGGTTGCAGTGAGTCGAGATTGCGCCACTGCACTCCAGCCTGGGTGACAAAGCCAGACTCCGTCTCAAAAATCAAACAAACAAACAAAAAACCTCTTTCATATATAGACATTATATTTATTCCTTTTTTATGATTTTCAAATTTCTGGTTGAATTCATTGATCTAGCTGTTCTTATTACATTGAATGAATGGATGATAAAATATTTCAACATCATTTTCCCAAATAATTCATTTATTCTCACTTCTCAGCACCATTTATAAAACAATGCCTCCTTTTCCTGATGACTACGATGCTATCATCATCATACTCTATATATCAGTTCTCTATTTTAGGATCTGTTTCAGAATTTTATATTCTGAATCACTCATCAGTCTCTTCTAGCACCGGTTCTACATCGCTTTAATAATTGTAGCATAAAGTTGGGCAAATCTCTTTTTATTGCTGTGGCAAGGTGAGTCAGGGCAGTTGCCACGATGTTGTAAAATTTAAAGAAAGCATTTTATGGAGAAACCATATAAATCAAGGATTAGCAGAGAAAGCACATGGTTCCCTGTTCTCTCATCAATCCAGAGAGGTGTTCCAGTGCAGGGCACTGTTGGCACACAGTGAGTGGGGCTGTGATCTAAAAGGGACTCTGCCTTCCCTACCCTACCTGGTTATAGCACAAGCATAATATCTGCTTTACATATGCATGCGCCCTGTATATTCACATTCACTCTTTTTGCTTCTCCACTCTTATATCAACAGAAAATCACATATCATCAATTTAATAGGCGTTGCAAAAGCCAAACAATTTTAAACTTCCTTTTATTTAAAGAAAATTCTTTAATCAACTAATAGATAGTCCCTAGATATAAAGAATATTTAAGAACAATAGCTAGTCTCACATTAAACTGCTAAAAAACAAAATAAGGCGGGGCGCAGTGGCTCATGCCTATAATCCCAGCACTTTGGGAGGCCGAAGCCGGCAGATGACCTGAGGTCAGGAGATTGAGTCCAGCCTGGTCAACATGGTGAAACCCCATCTCCACTAAAAAATACAAAAATTAGTCGGGTGGTGGCACACGCCTGCAATCCCAGCTACTCAGGAGGCTGAGGCAAGAGAATTGCTTGAACCTGGAAGGCGGAGGTTGCAGTGGGCTGAGATCGCACCACTGCACTCAGCCTGAGCAACAGAGTAAGACTCCATTTAAAATAATAATAATAATAAACAAAAACAAAAGTAAAAGCTAGAGCATTCCAGTTTAAATTGGAAACAAAACAATGATACTCTTTTTTACCATTATTCTTTAACATTGTTCTGGAATTTCTAGTCAATGCAATAAAATCTGACAGAAATAAGACATTATTATCAGAATTATAATAATATAAAGATACCAATATTTTTAGACAATACTTAGCAAAAATTTTCCACGTATAAAGCTATGTTGTTTAAAGTCTGTCTTAGTCCATTCAGGTTGTTATAATAAAATACCTTGGATGGGTAGTTTATAAAGAACAGGTCTGGTGTAGTGGTTCACACCTTTAATCCCAACACTTTCAGAGGCTGATGTGGGAGGATTCCTTGAGGCTAGGAGTTTGAGACCAGCCTGGGCAATACAGTGAGATCCCATCTCTACAAAACCAAAACAAGGTGGGGCACGGTGGCTCACGTCAGTAATCTCAGCAATTTGGGAGGCTGAGGTGGGCAGATCACCTGAGGTCAGGAGTTCAAGACCAGCCTACCCAACAGGGCAAAATCCTGTGTCTACTAAAAATACAAAAAATTAGCCAGGCATGGTGGTGGGTGCCTGTATTCCCAACTACTTGAGAGACTGAGGCAGGATAATCGCTTGAACCCGGGAGGTGGAGGTTGCAGTGAGCCGAGATCACACCACTGCACTCCAGCCTGGGCGACAAGAATGAAACTCCATCTCAAAAACAACCAAACCAAACCAAACCAAAACAAAAATCCCTAGAATTTACTTCTTATAGTTCTAGAGGCTGAAAGTCCAAGATCAAGGCACTGGCAGATTGAGTGTCTGGAGAAGGCCACTTCCTCATACATGATGATCTTCTCACTTTAATCTCACATGGCAGAAAGGGCAAGGCAACTAACTCTCTGGGTCTCTTTCATGAGGGCCTGAATCCCATTCATGAAAGTGGGCCCCTCATGACTTCATCGTCTCCCAGAAGCCCTGTCTGCTAACACCACCACCTTGTTTCAGCATAGGAATTTTGCAGAAGTTGGAGGTGGGACACAAACATTCAGACCACAGTAGTCTTATCAGAAAAGAGAAACAGGTAAATGCAAATAAGATGATTTTGGGAAAGAAAGCTGATTACTAGAAACCAGCAAGATTATCCAGCGAATGATGATTGAAATCCCAGATTGTCAGGCTGTGAACCAGTCAGAGCTGAAGGCACCTGCTCCATCCTGGGATGGACTGTGGCCAGAATTCAAACTCAAGGTCTGGGTACTACTGTCTTTCCCCATAACTTGAAACCACGAGGTGCCTGCAGTTGACCACTCCCTGAAGACCTAGCTTCAAACCTCAGACAGCTTAGTGTCTAACTCTGGTAGTAAACATGTTCTCCATTTACAACCACTCTCATGCCTACACTATAAAAAGATAGAGTAGCTGATGGGGAGAGGACGTCTTCCCCTGGGCACAGCATCTCGGTCATTTAGCCCTCTGGACCCTGCACACCTCACTGAGGAATGATGACAGAAGGGGAGATCTTGTGCCTTCTCTTGTTGATCTTTGGTGTGGACATTCCCCAATAAAGTCTGTTCCTTATAGCCATACCTCCTGACATTTGGTTAACGTCACCTGCATTTTCACCTTTAGTCCCCAGTACGGGACAAATTCTGTTCATTCTAGTTAAGGCTTCTGGAATGGCCCAGCCCAGGGTAGGAGATCACTCCTTGCGTGCAGCAGGGGCGGGTCACCTGGCTGAATGCGATTGTGGTGCCTACATCACAGACCACAGGAGCCCTTGGCATCGGTTTCCATAGGAATGGGAGACAGAGGGAGATAAGACTGCCTAGGATTCAACCCCTTAGCCTTTCCTCAGGAATCTACAGTTCTTTTAACAGGTAAGGGTAAAAAAGGATGGCAGAAAGCCTCAAAACTACACTTCCCTCCCATCCTACCCCCAATAGAAGTCCATAGTATCTTATTTAGGATTCTTACATCATATCCTCTGTAAGTAAACTTGGCCTGTGGTTTCATGTCTTTATTTAAAATGTTGATATTTTGTTCATTATGGATCTTTTTGCACTAACTTTGAGTTTTTACAACATGGCATTTAAATGGTATTTATTCTGATTACTTCACTCTAGTCTCTACACTTCCTGAAATTCTCAATTAGGCCAAGTCCTCTTTATGAATTGGAGCAGCTTTCCATCCCCTCTCTGAGGAGGTGAGTCTCCCCTGACCTGGAGAACCCATAATGGCCTCCCCAGAGAGGGGTGATGATCCCCCTAAGCAGTGTCTCCACATCCTTTCACCATTTCTAGCCCTATGACCAGACTCAAGCCAGAACTCAGACTAACCCATCTGGTGAGTATGTCCTGATTGTTTAAAGTGGGCATCATGCTAATTGGACTGGCTTCTGTGCTGAATAGCCAGTGCTCGTCTGTTGTTAAATATGTTGGCTGTTATCCAAACATGGCTAATCAATGTCATAATAGTATGTCAAAGTGATCAGCATTTTTCTTTAAAAAGTCTACTTGATGTCATTGATATGTTGAATTCTCCTACAAGAATTGTGTTTGTCTATTGCTAATTTGACTTGTAGCAGTTTTGTCTCCAGATAGATATATATTTTTTTCACAATTCAGCTTATAAAGTTTGGAAGAAGACATTCACAATTTCATTACCAACTATAGTTTTTAAAATTGGAAATCTACCTATAAAACTGTCTGGACTGGATGATTGTAGAAAACTTGAAATATAGAGAAATAAACAAAGAAAACCATAAAAACTCCCTATAATCCCTCAGCCAGAGGCAGGTCTTATTAACATTTTGGTTGTATATTTTATGAAAACTAAGATTACAAACAATACAATACTTTGTATCAGCTATTTTCCTTATCCATCACACTGGAGAATCAAAAGAATTATCAGCTGTCTGAAGGTGGCAAATTGCTTAAGAGACACATGAGCGTATTCTCTGAGCTTTGGAGGTAAAATCACCAGAGAACCGAAAACAGAAAGGGTCAGGGATGGTGGCCTTTTGGGATGGATGTTCTGGAGTGAGATTGAGGGGGCAGTTTATTTCTTATTTTGCACCCTTCTGTTGAATTTTGAATTTTAATGTGTTTATATGTTTCTTCTTAAATGATAAAATATTTATAATAGATTTTTAAAATATATACATGTTTGAATATTAATAAAAGAGGTACAGGAAAATATGGAGAAAAGATGGATGAATGTATTGGACTTCAGGATTCTACATATTTACATTCATATGTAAAATATGTACATGCCACTTCAGAACATATGTCAGGAGCAAGGCTATGGACATACATGATTCTTTCATTTTATTCACTAATTCATTTATTTTATTTTTAGTAACAGTAATACATATAATTGCAGAAAATGGAAAGGATAGAGAAGTATCTGTAACAATGCTATATAGCCATATCTAAAGCCAGATTCTATTAACATTTTATTCTGTATTTTATCAAAACTAAGATAACAAAATATGTATTATTTTTCGTCTTTTTTCACTTAGTAAATACATTAGAAATATTTTTTCCAATGTTCTTAATTATTTTTTTGCATTACCACTAGTAAATGCTTTCACAATAATCTGTATGCTATAACTGACTTTAAAAACTTCTTGTTTATGTAGTTGGTTTTTCCTTTTCTTTTTGCTGTTATGTCAGGTTCTGTGGATAGATGGCTTGGATCTGTAATTTACTAATTGTGCATTTGTGAGTAACTCACCTAATGGCTAAGCCTAAGTAGTCTTCTTTGTTTTTTTTTGTTTTGAGATGGAATTTCACTCTTGTCCCCCATGCTAGAGTGCAGTGGTGTGATCTCAGCTCACTGCAACCTCCACCTCCCGGGTTGAAGTGATTCTCCTGTCTCAGCCTCCTAAGTAGCTGGGATTACAGGTGCCCACCACCACATCTGGCTAATTTTTGTATTTTTAGTAGAGATGGGGTTTCACCGTGTTGGCCAGACTGGTCTCGAACTCCTGACCTCAGGTGATTTGCCCGCCTCGGCCTCTCAAAGTGCTGGTATTACAGGCGTGAGCCACTGTGCCCAGCCAACTCTTCTTCACTGATGAAAATTATAAAGAGAGTGCCTCATGAGGTTTTTACAAGGCTGAAATGAGATAATGTATGTTACAACTTTAGCATAACACTTGGCACATGGTAAGCACGGAATGAATGACAACTGATTTTATTCAAAGTATTGGCATAAACATACTTGTAGATAAATTTCCGAGCACATGATGATGTTTTTGTTTAGATGAAATCTTAACAGGTAAAATAGCTGAATCAAAGATGTATTCATAAAAGTTTTGATAGGTGTGGCTAAGCTGTCGCTGGGGAACATTAACAATATAGCAAAGATTCTTTTGCCTGAAATACAGTCGTAGGCAGCTTTCACTTCCTTTCTTTATCAGCTTGTATAATTGGTTAAAGTATTATTTATTTATTTTGAGATGGAGTCTTGCTCTGTCGCCCAGGCTGGAGTGCAGTGGTACGATCTCAGCTCACTGCAACCTCCGCCTCCCAGGTTCAAGCGATTCTCTGCCTCAGCCTCCTGAGTAGCTGGGATTACAGGCGCCTGTCACCATGCCTGGCTAATTTTTTTGTATTTTTAGTAGAGACGGGGTTTCACCACCTTGGCCAGGCTGGTCTTGAACTCCTGACCTCATAAGCCACCTGCCTCGGCCTCCCAAAGTGCTGGTGTTACAGGAGTGAGCCACCGCTCCCGGCCAAGTTTTATTTTTTAATTAGCCACTTACATAGACAAACACAGCACCTCATTTTAACTTATTTCTTTAATGACTAAAAAGGTTGAAGTTGCTCATATTTCCTATAAATACTACTTACTAGTACATTTTTGAGAGTTATTTGTGTTTTGCCTATTTTCCTATTGGATTTGTCAGAGTATTTTTTTTTTTTTTTTGAGTTTGAAAATCGTTTTACATAGCCAAAGACTAGTAATTTTATGCCTTCACTGAAACCTTCACCCCATCTGGAGTTTACTGGGTGTTTGGCTAAGTGAATTTTATTGTTTCTAAGTAGTCTATTGCATAAGGCCTCTCTTATCAGGCGAAGATACAAACCTGGACCATTAGGGTTTTCCATCAAGTTTTAAAGTCTTCAAAGCACAGGAAGTCATAGAATTCAGTCATGAGCCAGAATTGATAAATATCACAAAAGAGTGAACATATTCTCTTAAGCCTAGACTTAGCTAAAACCCCAGGACAGCAACTTTTATAATTTGTAAACCACTTTTTCAAACTACTTAAATCCTTAAAGGTCAGACACATGGAAAGAAGCACAGGGTTCTAGCCTCTCAGGTGAGCAAACACAGATCAAATGTAACGATGTTTCATTCATTTCTTTTAAATTTCACTGTTGACAGCTTCATCTCAAAGTTACCCAGTTTCTAAGCTATAAAATCAGCAACTAAATCGCCTTTTACTGGAGAGAACCTTGTTGGGGGTAAACCATAAAGTAAACTCAATTATGGAGTACATTATTTTATTATAACCATGGAACCCTTAGGGAAGCCAGAGAATGCTCTTGCTGATTAAAGGAGTAGAATATATAAATAGAACCTATAAATGTAATATACAAAAATGTATGTGTGTGTGTGTGTGTGTATTTTTCAAACATTGAGAACCCCAGTACAACACCTTTAATTTATAAAGAAACCAAAGTGTAGGACTATAGTCTCTAAATATGTTTTCATTTATACTCTTAATAAAAATGTGTGTATATCTGTTTATGAATTGTAATTATGTACTATTTATTAAAGTTTAATGTACCTTGTAAAACAATACATGCTCAATTTTTTTTTTTTTTTTTTTTTTTTGAGATGGTGTCTTGCTCTGTGGCCCAGTCTGGAGTGCAGTGGTGCGATCTCGGCTCACTGCAAGCTCCACCTCCCGGGTTCATGCCATTCTCCTGCCTCAGCCTCCCAAGTAGCTGGGACTACAGGAGCCCACCACCACGCCCGGCTAATTTTTTTGTATTTTTTAGTGGAGACGGGGTTTCACTGTGTTAGTCAGGATGGTCTCGATCTCCTGACCTCATGATCCTCCTGCCTCAGCCTCCCAAAGTGCTGGGATTACAGGTGTGAGCCACCGCGCCTGGCCCACATGCTCAAATTTTTTAAATGGTTTAATGAAAATAGGCATAACTAGAAATTCTGGTATTCCTCTTCCTTACCCCAGTGGGTCATCTCAAACACACGCATGCCCCCACTTTGAAATCACCTACTTAGAGTTAACTAACTCATCCATGGCCATATGAGGGGCAGAACAGAACTAGAATTATGGTCTTCTAACCCCAAGCTGTATTTATTGCTACTACATTATCCTGCTTCCTATCAAATATATACCCAAGTTAGAACTGGGCCAAGGTGAACTGGGTTAATAGTTTTCACTCTTGTAAAGTCTCTACTTTGAAATATCTTATAACCACAAATAACTGAACTTTAGATTTAAGGCTAATATTAAAGGCACACTTGTGCTAACTTAGAATCCCCCAAATTGACTTTAAGGTTATATCTGAGGAAAAGCTCCAAATTATTAATTTTCTGCCAGTCTAGCATAACCCTGACTTAAACCTGTGGTATATTCTTAGAAAGCTCCTCCACCCCTACCACCATATACTTCCTGAGCCATCTTTAAAAATTCTGAAATTATAACACAAAGAGATTTCTTTAGGAACATAAGTGTGTCCTCTCGCTCTTGAAGAAAAAAAAACAAAAACCAGAGGTCATATTTTTCTCAATCCAAATATCCTCACAGTTGCAAATAACTTTACAACTTCATAAACTGAATTTCTGAAAAATGTCTAGTTTGATATGACCAGAATTCTCCTTAACTAAGTTACTAACTAAAACTGGAGGTTTTATACTTCAGAAAGAGCTAAGAAAAACAGAAAAGCTACAAGGTATAGCTTCATGGAAAGTCGTGATTTTGTCCTTGGGATGAACACAAAAGGATTATCATCAGAACTCCAGGCACAGCATGTTCTTAGTCACTTAGCTCAAGCGTTTCTCAAACCGGGCTCACATTTACAGTCGTAGGGCTCTGAGTTCTCTTGAAGGATTGTGTGGGCATCTGCATGTGCCTGCGTGTGCATGCACTTTCGAAGCATGGTAATCTGACGTATACCTGTGTGGTATGCATATCTGGACAGTCTGAATGGTCCTGTTAACCGCAAGTGCTACCATTCAGTTTTCAGTGCTTGGCTTTGCATTTGGGTCTGTGACTGCAGTGGTGCTGAATAGGGCTGGCCTTTTTACTGTGGGCTAAATTTGTCAGGACTCCGTTGCTGATCATAAAAAACGAATCCAAACTAGCTGCTTTGCAAAAGAGACAGGGATACCTACACCACAAGTCCTGTGTCCTGCAAAGATCAAATGTGGTTAACTGAGGAAAAATCTTTCAAGCCAGAAGTAGCAGAGTACACACAGTCTCCCAGATTTTCTTTAACCCGATGAGGGATGTGCCAGGGCCAGGCAGTGGGAGAATGCCCGCACCATGCAGGGACTCCACATCTATAATGCGCTACATTTTTTTTTTTTTTTTTTTTGAGACGGAGTTTCACTCTTGTTGCCCAGGCTGGAGTGCAATGGTCCAATCTCGGCTCAGTGCAACTTCCGCCTCCCAGGTTCAAGCGATTCTTCTGCCTCACCCTTCTGAGTAGCTGGCATTGCAGGCATGCACCACAATGGCCAGCTAATTTTTTTTATTTTTTATTTTTAGTAGAGACAGGGTTTCTCCATGCTGATCTAGAGCTGGTCTAGAGCTCCCGACCTCAGGTGATCCGCCCACCTCAGCCTCCCAAAGTGTTGGGATTACAGGTGTGCACCACCGCACCCGGCAGTCTGCTACATTTTGATAGGAGACATCTATGTGGTGCTGTAACGGTGGAAGCTCCTTGCTCAAGCACTTGGCATTTCTGGAAAGAGCCTCTGGGGCGCAGCAGCCAGTGTCGTTCAGTTCTTCTGTGGAGCTCATGCAGGCCTGCAAAGCTAGATCTTGTGAAGCTACTGAAAACGGGTAGAAAATGAGCTTACAAGGCTACTTGGACTTGTTTATGCTCACTAGCTGAAGCTAAATGAGAATATTTATTGGCACCCCTGTCTTTGCACGCCAAGGGTGGCGGTCACCTCGAGACCCAGTTGATGTCACTGAGACGGTTCATCTCTCGGTTACATTGCTTGCTGTGTGTGGATCACACTAACAGGCTTCCTCCTCCGGAGGTGGGAGTGGGTTGAGGGTGAGGTGTGGTGGGGATGGCCACAGTAGAGCACAGGGTTTATAACACCCATGTGAAACAACCTTAGAGGAAAGAAAGAGCTACATTCTTTCAGTAGCCAAGTATATAGTACCAGGGAAGGGATCTAATTGCACCTGCTGGAGTCACTTGCCCACTTACACGACCAGAGGGAATGAGTGTTCTGTTCGGCAATTCTAGGTCACGTGGGGACTCTTTTGGAGGCTGAGATACTATGCTTTGCTGCTCATTGGCACACAGGAGTTGGGAAAGAATAGCTATCCAAAAAAAAAGGGATGTTTGTGAGCAAAGAATCAAACAATGTCTTATACTTGGGGAAAAGAGAAGAGAACAGAACAGGCTTAATTCAGAAGTGATGCATTTGAGCTGAATAAATGCCAGATGGCATTGCCTCACGCTATATAATTAAATGATTTAAACTATATACCAGCCTATAATTTAAGTAGTAGTTTGAATAGAAGGAAGTGGTGGCAAAATTAAGTGATCTCATGGCATATGGTGGCATGCCAACTCTAAAAACAATAGCTTTATAGCATCAGTACCATATTCATACTGTTATTTAGTTCCATCAAAGCGGAATCAGCCACCATGTTAAATTAATGCTATGCATTTTTATTGGCTTTTTTGTATTTAATTAATAAATATTTTATTTTTGCTTTGCAAATGTATGCTTGGCTTTATGTTTTATGTATTTTGCTAATATTATGGTGCAATTAATCTCAGGCAATCCCAGCTTTGACTGTTCTTCTTTTATAAAACATCCATATATTACTTAATTCTGAGAAGTCTCACTAACGTATCTATTTCATCCAAAATCCAGTTTCTTTTCTTTTGCAGGCTAAATATTAAATTCCCTCCACTTATATGGTATAGTTTTAAGTTCCTTTAGACCTGGAATTCCCTTGGGGAGTGGTATGCTTTGGCAGGCATATTAGGATCATCTGAGCAAACAGCACAGGTGCCCCTCACCTTCTGAAATGCTCTTCTGTAAGTGTGCGTGCCCCATTGTTGAGAATCACTGCCATAAAAACTCACTTTAACAATGCAACATCTCATGTGTCTCAAGAGTCCTAGGTATAAAATAAGGCAAATGTCATGGTTTTAGAATATCAACTCCCTTAAGTGTAGCACCCAGAACTATAATGGTCTGTGTATGCTATAGTAGCTAAAAAGCAGAGCGAAGTGCTTCACTGAGATCTACAGTTGAATGAATTGCCTATCTAGTTCTCAATTTGTCTCTCCCTTTACTTTGAATCTCCTGCTACTGACTGTGGTAAGCAGGGAGTGGGCTGCCCTGATCCTCCTTAAAGGAAGAATGTGCTGCTCTGCTGCCAGCTTCTTCAGGATCTGCCTGGGTCACAGAGGCCACCTGGTCCAAGGTCCATGACCTTCCAGCGGGACTATTTGGCCAACCAGGGCACATTCTGATGAGCAATCGTAGCTCCAGAGCTTCCCACCAAATCAGCCAAAGATTCACTGGGTCTGTATCACACAGTTCAACATCTTCCTCTATTCACTCCTGCTTCCGCCCCCTTCTCTTCACAGGTGTTGGTCTCTAATAAACATCTTGCACCTGTAACTCCACTTCAGCATCTGCTCCCGGAGAGCCCAGCTGCAACACCAACTTCGTCCCAATACTGGCTGTGCTTTCCTGGCTGCCCTACAACATGCTAATCTTGCCCGACAGTCTAGACAGTCCTGCCACTTTCTTGGCAACTCAATGTACTCTGCTGTGACACTCACCTTGAGGATTCCCGGGGCAGATCCCAAGATACAGGGATACCAAAAAGTATTTTCAAACCAGTAGGCTTGCAAGCATTGTTCTAATACTGAAAGATTCATAGTGACCTATATTTATTGGACATTTATCATGTGGCAGGCACTGTTTAATGTGAATTAATCACAACCGTATTGTCCATACTATTAAAGTTTTTTAGGTGAGGAAACTGAGGCATGCTTCAGTCACCAGTTGGTGAGTTGGTGGAGTTGGGATTTAAATTTAGGCATCTTCACAGTCCACGTGTCTTACTCAATTTTCTCTTCCTCAAATTGAGCTTAAATTCAAGTTTCTTATAGTTCTGGAGGCTGAGAAGTCCAAGGTCAAGGAGCCATATCTGGTGAGAGCCTTATTCCTGGTGGGGACTTTACAAGGTCCCAAGGCAGTGCAGGGTATCACATGTTGAAGGTGTGCAAATGTGCTAGCTCAGGTTTCCCATTCTCCTCTTCTAAAGACACCAGTTCCCCTCCCATGATAATCCATTAATCCATTAAACCATTAATCCATGAATGGCTTAATCGATTTATGAGGACAGAGCCCTTGAGATCTAATCACCTCTTAAAGACCCCACCTCTCGATACTAACATATTGGACATTAAGTTTCCACATCAGTTTTGGAGGAAATATTCAACCCATAGCACCATATTAGCCACTATACCAGTGCTTCCCCAATTTTGGCCTGCACTAGAACCACCTGGAGGGCGGTTGGTGGACCTCACTCTTAGAATTTCTAATGCAGTAGGTCTGAGGTAAAGTCTGAATATTTGCATTTCTAACAAGTTCCCAGGTGATGCTGACACTGCTGTTTCAAGGACAACATTTTGGGAACCACTTTACGTGATACAGCCTCTCAAGTACAATTTCAACTGACATCATGTGAAAATGCATTATCGTTTTCCTCATGATAAATAAGAGTTTCCAAGTGCAATAAATTTGGAAACCACTAATTACACAATATTGTCATTGACTCTCCAGTTTCAGGCTTTCCTCATCTTCCTAGTGCTCAGTCTTTCTCTGTTGACCACATGTGTCCAAGGACATCTGGCAAGAGCATCCTGATTACAAAATCCAGTGTTGCTTTCCTTGGATATCAACAAAAACATGCAATTGATTAATAGAGGCTAACATACTTGAGATGCAGAGTTAGGCACCATAATTAGGCACCATAAATGAGGCTTTTAAAATAGTTGCCATTATTAGCTCTGTCAATCGTTTTAAGGCCAGAAAATGCACAACACAGCCTCATACAGTTTTTTTGTTTTGTTTTGTTTTGTTTTGTTTTTTTGAGACAGGGTCTCACTCTGTCACCTAGATTGGACTGCAGTGGTGCAATCATGGTTCACTGCAGTCTCGAGCTCCTGGGCTCAAGGGATTCTCCCGCTTTAGCCTCCTGAGTAGCTGGGAACACAGGTGCACACTACCACGCCCGGGTAATTTTACAGACAGAATCTCACTTTGTTGCTCCGTCTGGTCTTAAACTCACGAGTTCAAGCAATCCTCCTGCCTCGGCCTCCCAAAGTGCTGGGATCACAGGCATGAGCCACTGCGACTGGCCCGTCATACAGTATTTTAGAAATTTTGTGAACTAGATTGTGTGAAAGCACACATATTTAAAAAACAACAACATTAGGGTTAAAGTTAAGGATAAAAATAAAATATTTTTTAGTTAAAAGAAAAAGCCATTAAAATGTTTGCAATACTTCTCAATCTTGGAAACATTAAGGTGATTTGTCGAATTATTTTCAAACCATGAATCTTTTTTGGTGCATTAATTCATTTGATTAATATTTAGTAAGCACCCACAGGGCTACAGCCTCGCACTTGCAGAATCATATGGTATTATAATTGTTATAGTAACAATCACTAGCGTTTTTATTGTCCTCACTTTCTCAGGCACTTGAAATCTTTTCCAACCTGAGGCCATTGGTTTCCACATCATCTCTGTGAAGTAGGATCATCTATTATGTTATTTTGTCCCATGTGTACCCTAGAAAGCTAAGGTCCTGAGGACCGGGGCTGCCTCCAGGCCGACTCCGGGTGGAACCACAGGTGGAATTTACAGGGCTGGACTTTCAGGCATCAACCTGCCAAACAACTTTCTGTCTCTGGGGAATTTTCTGTCCTAGGTTTCTATGGCAAAACACTTACCTATCATTTTACTTTTTAAAAAAAGAAAATAATTCTATAAGGAAGTTCGAAATTAAGATTTGTTTTGACTTTCCGGTGATTCCAGACAGGGAATCTACTCCGAGTGTGGCGGCGGGTGCCTATAGTCCCAGCTACTCAGGAGGCTGAGGCAGGAGAATCATTGCTTGAACCTGGGAGGTGGAGGTTGTGCTGAGTTGAGATCACGCTATTGGACTCCAGCCTGGGCAACAAGAGTGAAACTCCGTCTCAAAAAAAACAAAACAAAACAAAACAAAAAAAACCATCTAGGTTTGGAGGATAAAATAAACATTCATAAACTATATAATTCAAGGAGAAGACCAGAATACTTCTTTAGGCCAGGTGCAGTGGCTCACACCTGTAATCCCAGCATTTTGGGAGGCGCAGGTGGGTGAATCACCTGAGGTCAGGAGTTCAAGACCAGCCTGGCCGAAACCCCGTCCCTACTGAAAAAAAAGAAAAGTTAGCCAGGCATGGTGGTACATGCCTATAGTCCCAGCTACTCGGGGGTGCTGAGGTAAGAGAATCACTTGAACCCGGGAGGCGGAGGCTGCAGTGAGACGAGATCGCGCCAATGCACTCCAGCGTGGGCAAGAGAGCAAGACTCCATCTCAAAAAAAAGAAAAAAAATAAAGAATACTTCTTTAAATGCCTGCTAGAGTAAATGAAATATAATATTAATTTCATTTTATAGAAGAGACATTATAAGAAAACATATTACAGTATATTTTAATTGTTATTTGACAGCAAAAATAGTCATTCACAAACACCCACAAATTACAAGCTAACTAAAATAATCTCAAGATATTGATAGATCAAAGGAGCTATGAGTATAGTAAAGAAACAAGAAAAAGTAGAGGGAAGATAAAGGTGAGATAAGGAATGGTGCTCTTTCAGCATGAAAGTATGTTCTGGGTGGAGGTGCAGTGTATGTGAGGGTGATCTAATAGGATGGAGGTGCAGTGTGGATGGAGTGTGAACGATCAACATAGAGGTGCTATGTGTGTGGAGGGTGATCTATCAGGATGGAGGTGCAGTGTGGGTGGAGGGTGATCTATCAGGATAAAGGTGCAGTGTGGGTGGAGGGTGATCTATCAGGATGGAGGGGCAGTGTGGGTGGAGGTTGATCTATCAGGATGGAGGTGCAGTGTGGGTGGAGGGTGATCTATCAGGATGGAGGTGCAGTGTGGGGGGGTGATCTATCAGGATAAAGGTGGGTGGGGGGAGGATAGGTGGGGTGGGGGGGTGATCTATCAGGATGGAGGTGCAGTGTGGGGGAGGGTGATCTATCAGGATGGAGGGCAGTGTGGGTGGGATAAGATGTGCAGGTGGGGGTGATTATCAGGATGGAGGTGCAGTGTGGGTGGAGGGTGATCTAGGATAAGGTGCAGTGTGGAGGGGATTATCAGGATGGAGGTGCAGTGTGGGGGAGGGTGATCTATCAGGATAAGGTGCAGTGTGGGTGGAGGGTGATCTTCAGGATGGAGGGCAGTGTGGGGGAGGTGATCTATCAGGATGGAGGTGCAGTGTGGGTGGAGGGTGATCTATCAGGATGGAGGTGCAGTGTGGGTGGAGGTTGATCTATCAGGATGGGCAGTGGGGTGGAGGGTGATCTTCAGGGAGGTGCAGTGTGGGGGAGGGTGATCTATCAGGATGGGGGCAGTGGGGGGGGTTGATCTATCAGGATAAAGGTGCAGTGTGGGTGGAGGGTGATCTATCAGGATGGAGGTGCAGTGTGGGTGGAGGGTGATCTATCAGGATGGAGGGGCAGTGTGGGTGGAGGGTGATCTATCAGGATGGAGGTGCAGTGTGGGTGGAGGGTGATCTATCAGGATGGAGGGGCAGTGTGGGTGGAGGGTGATCTATCAGGATGGGGTGCAGTGTGGTGGAGGGTGATCTATCAGGGATGGGGAGGTGCAGTGGTGGGTGGAGGGTGATCTACGGATAAGGCAGGGTATATCAGAGGTGCAGTGTGGGTGGAGGGTGATCTATCAGGATGGAGGTGCAGTGTGGGTGGAGGGTGATCTATCAGGATGGAGTGGTGGAGGGTGATCTGGAGGATGGGTAGGTGATCTATCAGGATGGGTGCATGTGGGTGAGGGTGATCTATCAGGATGGAGGTGCAGTGTGGGTGGAGGGTGATCTATCAGGATGGAGGGGCAGTGTGGGTGGAGGGTGATCTATCAGGATGGAGGTGCAGTGTGGGCGGAGGGTGATCTATCAGGATAAAGGTGCAGTGTGGGTGGAGGGTGATCTATCAGGATGGAGGTGCTATGTGTGTGGAGGGTGATCTATCAGGATGGAGGTGCAGTGTGTGTGGAGGGTGATCTATCAGGATGGAGGTGCAGTGTGGGTGGAGGGTGATCTATCAGGATAAAGGTGCAGTGTGGGTGGAGGTTGATCTATCAGGATGGAGGTGCAGTGTGTGTGGAGGGTGATCTATCAGGATGGAGGTGCAGTGTGGGTGGAGGGTGATCTATCAGGATAAAGGTGCAGTGTGTGTGGAGGGTGATCTATCAGGATGGAGGTGCAGTGTGGGTGGAGGTTGATCTATCAGGATAAAGGTGCAGTGTGGGTGGAGGGTGATCTATCAGGATGGAGGGGCAGTGTGGGTGGAGGTTGATCTATCAGGATAAAGGTGCAGTGTGGGGTGATCTATCAGGATGGAGGTGCAGTGTGGGGGGGTGATCAGTGGAGGTGCATGTGGGGAGGGTGATCTATCAGGATAAGGTGCAGTGTGGGTGGAGGGGATCTATCAGGATAGGTGCAGTGTGGGTGGAGGGTTGATCTATCAGGATGGAGGTGCAGGTGTGGGGGTGGGAGGGGGGGGGGTGGGGTTGGGGGTGCAGTGGGGGGGGTGATCTATCAGGATGGAGGTGCAGTGTGGGGGAGGGTGATCTATCAGGATGGAGGTGCAGGTGGGGGAGGGTGATCTATCAGGATAAAGGTGCAGTGTGGGTGGAGGGTGATCTATCAGGATGGAGGTGCAGTGTGGGTGGAGGGTGATCTATCAGGATAAAGGTGCAGTGTGGGTGGAGGGTGATCTATCAGGATAAAGGTGCAGTGTGGGTGGAGGTTGATCTATCAGGATGGAGGTGCAGTGTGGGTGGAGGTTGATCTATCAGGATAAAGGTGCAGTGTGGGTGGAGGTTGATCTATCAGGATGGAGGTGCAGTGTGGGTGGAGGTTGATCTATCAGGATAAAGGTGCAGTGTGGGTGGAGGTGATCTATCAGGATAGAGGTGCAGTGTGGTGGAGGTTGATCTATCAGGATGGAGGTGCAGTGTGGGTGGAGGGTGATCTATCAGGATGGAGGGGCAGTGTGGGTGGAGGGTGATCTATCAGGATGGAGGTGCAGTGTGGGTGGAGGGTGATCTATCAGGATGGAGGTGCAGTGTGGGTGGAGGTTGATCTATCAGGATGGAGGTGCAGTGTGGGTGGAGGGTGATCTATCAGGATGGAGGTGCAGTGTGTGTGGAGGGTGATCTATCAGGATGGAGGTGCAGTGTGGGTGGAGGGTGATCTATCAGGATGGAGGTGCAGTGTGGGCGGAGGGTGATCTATCAGGATGGAGGGGCAGTGTGGGTGGAGGTTGATCTATCAGGATGGAGGGGCAGTGTGGGTGGAGGGTGATCTATCAGGATGGAGGTGCTGTGTAGGTGGAGGGTGATCTATCAGGATGGAGGTGCAGTGTGGGTGGTGTGTGATCTATCAGCATGTAGTTATGTGGTGGGTGGTGGACCCATATTTGTAGTAGCTCCTCCTCTTCTTATATGG